TGACCAAGACAGCCAAGGTCTCTGCTCTCAAAAACCAAACTACGTTTTTGTGTTCAAATAGTTTTTTAGACCTTCCTGCACCTGTGCATGCATCCATGGAGCTCTGTCAGGCGCTGACTCCCCGCTTTGGTGTGCAAGGCATCCACATTTTGGGTCACCAACCAGTACAACTTTCCAAGCTTCTCCCAGTTGCTCAAAGCCCAGTGTGCAGGGTTAGGTTGGTGGGAGGAGAACTGAGGCCAGCCCACAAAGTTCCTTGCCCAATACCGCTGGCGGATTGGAGCACTCTGCATAAAATCCTTGTGCTGGATGGGCCTCCGGTCAGTGCGGGCATAAAGACCCACCTTTTCTGATCTGTAGTCTGGGATGCCTGACTCAGTGGAGATTCCTGCCCCAGTCATCACAAAGAGTCTCTTGGAAAGGGTGATGAAGCGCTGTAACTCTTTGACCTTCTCAGGGTCCAACGGAGGACTTGGTGGCACAAATGACCCAATAAATCCACGTGAGCACTGCTGGCTAAGGTTCACAACCCAATGGCCTTTTGCTGACTTGAAAGTCAACCCAAGGCTCATCCTCATTCTAGAGAAAAAGAAACCTCATGTGAGAAAGAGTGTTTTAAAAACAAAGTTAGCTTTGGGTCCATACCTAATTCTATATTCTTTTATTACCCCAAGGCCTGCAGCCTCTTACCTCCTGGAGCCTTCTCTGCCTGTCCCTCTGATCCTTAGCCATCCTGTTTATTGCCCAATTTTTTGTTTATATGGATGACTGAGAGGCTCTGCACCACAACCTAGGACCCTGGCTCCCCTTTCCTTGGGTCCTTGCGGTCCTTGCCCCTGTCTATTCCTGGACAGTTGGCTCTACCTCAGCAACACTTTTATAGCAAAATCAGTGCAAATAAAATATCTGTCAGTGAATAAATAAATAAAAACAAAGTTAGCCACCACCCAATGAATGACAAACAAAATACAGTCTATCCATACAATGGAAGAAAAAAAGCTAAAAAAATGAATGAGGTTCTGATACATGCTACAACATGTATAAACACCGAAAACACTATGCTAAGTCCCTGAATGGTGACTCTTGCCTGTGGTCCCAGCTGTATTTGGGAGGCTAAGGCAGGAGGATCCCTTGAGCCCACGAGTTTGAGGTTGCAGCGAGCTATGATGATGCCACTGCACTCTAGTCCAGGTAACAGAGAACTTGTCTCAAAATAAAGTGTATTGGGGAGGAGTGCATGTTTTGACATAGTCTAAAATCTAATTAAGCTATCTGTCCAGAGCATATTATTCCCAGTGGCAGATTTCATGCTTATGGATAATGACTTTGTCAATGACTCCAGTACCTTGGAGAATGGTCCCAAAATGAGCAAGCACATCTTCCACAGAAGAGGTACAGCTTCTTCTTCCCCTCATCCCACCTACAGTGTATTTATAATTTTATTTTGTAATCTCAAGCAGTTTTTTATAAAATTTGAAAGACTGTGAACTAGCTTACAATCTGCTAACTCAAGGATGCATTCAACACTAGGACTCTGGCTTTACAGAGAAAAACTGACCCTTGCCAGGGTGTGCTAGTAAACTAGCTTCCCATCACATGTCTCCACTCCTCCCCCCACACACACACACAAAGAGAGATAAAAGAGAATAATCTCATCATGGCTAATTTCAGGCTACCAACAGGTTTCAACAACTGGTTAGCAAATTCCTGAATATTTAACAGGCCTTCACTGGCATAAACTGATTTCAGGATACCCTCCTGTGTCCTATGAGTCCAACTTGAAATAATGAGCCCACCTTTTAAATTATCTTTTTAATACCTTTTTTTTTTTTTGGTGAAGAATCTTTAATACCTTCCAAAAAAAATCTTATCTGCACACTAGACTATTTCACCGTAGCCTAAACCAATCTTATCTTCATGATCTCTTGAGAACCTAAGCCAAAGTTCTATGGTGTAGACCTCAAATGAAAATTAACTTCAAATGGTTGGTGAATCTGCCAAAGCTTTCTGCATCCAAGGAAAAATGTGTTATTTTAAAAAGGAGTGGAGAGAAGAGAAAAAACGATAAAGCAGGTACTAACAAAACATAAGGCCTGTTCCATCTCTTCTAGTAACACCTGGCTTGTCAGAACTGAATTCCCTATAAACTTCAAAAGGTTAATGGCTTACCTCAATATCTTTTAAATCTCATAATAGCACATTATTATTCCATCTATGGCTACATCTAAAGATGTCTGAACAACAACTTCATCAGGTTTTTTATTTTTACAGTTTCAGCCAGGGCGGGCTTGAACCCGCCACCCTGGTATATGGGGCTGGCGCCCTACTCCTTGAGCCACAGTAACCACCCCTTCATCAGGTTTTGATGAAGTTGTTGTTCAGGCCAGGTGCAGTGGCTCACACCTATAATCCTAGGACTCTGGGAGGCCAAGGAGGATCGCTTAAGCAAGAGTTCACAAGACCAGCGTCAGCAAAACCCATTTCTACTAAAAACAGAAAAACTTGCCAGGTGCGATGACACAGGTGTGTAGTCCTAGCTACTCAGGAGGCTAAGGCAGACGTATTGCTGGAGCCCAGGAGTTTGAGTCTGCTATGAGCTAGGCTGACACCACAGTACTCTAGCCAGGGCAATAGATCGAGACTACCTAAAAAGTCTCTAAACAGAGGAATAAATTTATCTGTACTTTTAGTTAATACCATCCCTTGGGAGACTATATGTTTCATGAGTCCACTTTCCATTTTATAATTAGAGTCAGGAGAGGTGGCTCACACCTGTAATCCTAGCAACTCTGGGAGCCAAGGCAGGTGGATTGCTTGAGCTCGGGAGTTCAGGACCAGCCTGAGCAATTGAGATCCTGTCTCTACTAAAAATAAAAAAAACTAGCAAGTGTGGTTGCAGGCACCTGTAGTCCTAGCTACTTGGGAGGCTGAGGCAAAAGGATCGCTTGAACCCAGGAGTTCCAGTTTGCTGTGAGCTACAATGACACCACAGCACTCTACCCAAGGTGACAGAGTGAGATTTGCTTTCTAAAATACAATACAAAAATATATACTTTATAAATTATAATTATCTAATTTCTTCATAAGCTACAGAAGCATAGTTGAGTCCTAATAGACTAGTTTTTTGTTTGTTTGTTTGTTTTGAGACAGCGGAGTCTCAAGCTGTTGCCCTGGGTAGAGTACTATGGTGTAGTAGCTCACAGCAACCTCCAACTTGGGCTCAAGCGATCCTCTTGCCTCAGTTTTTCTATTTTTAGTAAAGACAGGGTCTCGATTTTGCTCAGGCCGGTCTAGAATTCATAAGCTCAAGCAATCCAGTCGCCTAGCCCTCTCAGAGTGCTAGGATTACAGGCGTGAGCCACTTCCCCCAGCCAGTAGATCAGGTTTTGATAAAGTTGTTGTTCAGGCCTTTGGACCTTTGGTTTTATTCACGATTTATACTGCATTGCAAACTGCTGTTTGGACACAAGCAAAGGGACATGACCGGTGTGTGTCTGCTTTTCTAGCTTTAAACAAAACTTTGAAGTATTATTTGATATAATGCAGAAATCCTCTTGTGACATGCACCCTATATGTAAACATTATTTTATGCTTGGCTTTCCAGACCTGAGTTCAGGATCCCACTTTCTCCTTGACATTCCATACATTCGATAGCAACATGTGAGCAGCTCAACAAATACATAGTAGGATTTTCTGAAACCAAAGGGCCAGGGAAACCGCGCTGAAAAAGGGCTCCACTGGAACAGCTGCTGTCTTTCTCAAATCCCACCAAGGGCAAAGAAGAGAAACGAAATCCCTTACTAGAAACCCACCCCTTGGCCGGACGCAGAGGCTCACGCCTGTAACTCTAACACTCTGGAAGGCCGAGGCGGGTGGACTGCCTGACCTTACAGGTTCGAGACCAGCCGAGCAAGCGCGAGACCCCCCCACCCCCCTAAAAATAACCGGGCGTCCTGGCGGGCGCCTGTAGTCCCAGCAATTCTGGAGGCTGAGACAAGACAATCGCTTGAGCTCAGGAGTTTGAGAATGCTGCGAGCTGTGCCGCTACAGCACTCTACCGAGGATGACAAATGAGACCGTGTCTCCAAAAAAGAAAAAAACAAAACCATCCCTTCTAGAAACTCGCAGCCAGCACAGAACACACACTGACCTTCCACAGCACGAGGCACAGTTCACAACCGGCAGCGGGATTGTCTAGTTACATTTGCATTTTGGGAAGTGTAGTTCATGAAGCCGAAATGATGCGAGAAAAACTACAAGTCCCATAACCCCTCGCGCCGCATTTTTGAGGGATCCGGGTTGTCCGGGAGCGCCCCCGGTCGGCCATTCCCGGTCAGAGTTTTTTTTTTGAGACAGCCTCAAGCTATCCCCCTGGGTAGAGTGCTGTTACATCACAGCTTACAGCAAGCTCCAACTCCTGGGCTCAAGCGAGTCTCTTGCCTCAGCCTCCCAAGTAGCTGGGACCACAGGTGCCCGCTACAGCTCCCGGCTATTTTTTGGTTGCAGCCGTCATTGTTGCATGGTTGTTTTGGTGGGCCTGGGCTGGATTTGAACCTGCCACCTTAGGTGTATGTGGCTGGTGCCTTAGCCAGTTGAGCCACAGGTGCTGAGCCCCGGTCAGAGGTTTTAAACTTCTCTCGTCGGAGAGGTTTTGAATCGCTCTCACCTGAGCCAAGGATACTTTGTCATTCCTCATCCTCCCAGAGAAGTGGTTGGAGCCAATGTCCTGACTCAGGAATTCATCCTCTCTTAAGATAGAAGCTTTTAATTACTAGATCTAGGCCAGGCACCAGAGGCTCATGACTATAATCCCAACGGTTTGGGAGGATGAGGCGGGGAGGGTTCAGGCCAGGAGTTCAAGACCAGCCTGGACAAAGTAGTGAAACCATGTGTCTACAATAAACAAATAAAACATAATAATGTTTTTAAAGATCCATATAGTTTTGACTCATTCTGAACTTCAGTGTTTATTCCTTTCCAGTCACCATGACAGAATCAAGTTCCCTTTGCAACTTAACTACTGTAATTAACAAATATCTGAAAAATTGATGTGCTTTTTTTTTTTTTTGGAGACAGAGTCTTTGTCGCCCTTAGTAGAGTGCCGTGGTGTCACAGCTCACTGTAACCTCAAACTCTTGCGCTCATTCTCTTGCCTCAGCCTCCCTTGTAGGTGGGACTACAGGCACCTGCCACATGCTGGGCTATTTCTTTTTTGTTTGTTTGTTTGTTTAGCAGACTCAGGCCGGGTTCTAACCCACCAGCCCTAGTGCATGTGGCCGGCACACTAACCACTAAGCTATGGGCACTGACCTGAAAAATCGATGTTTTCACAGCAATATGAACAATTAAAGATATATTATATGTGGACTAATGTGCTTAGCCACATGGCTTCTCCAATTTTTTTTTTTTTTTTTTGAGACAGAGCCTTAAATTGCCCCTGGGTAGAATGCTGTGGCATCACAGCTCACAGCAACCTCCAACTCCTGGGCTCAAGCGATTCTCCTGCCTCTGCCTCCCAAATAGCTGGGACTGTAGGCGCCTGCCATAACATCCAGCTACTTTTTGGTTGTAGCCATCATTGTTGTTTGGCGGGACCAGGCTAGATTTGAACCCGCCAGCTCTGGTGTATATGGCTGGCACCTTAGCCACTTGAGCCACAGGCACTGAGCTAGCTTCTCCAATTTTATTTCTCATCTTGTGTTTAAATCAATCAACACAATGCCTGCGTTTCACTCCCAGAGATTCTGATCTATGAGTAGCCAACAAGAACTGCTACTCCATAGCATCACCTAAATAAGACATCAAATCATTTACAAGTGTCTTAGGACATAATCAAGGAGCAGCTAGCAAGGACCCTGAAGACCACCTGAGGACTCCCTTCCCTCATCTTATGCTCAACTGAGAGCTGGGTGTCTTGGCTTGGGTATGTACTCCCAGAGCTTTGGGAGGCAGAGGCAAGAGAATTGCTTGAGGTCAGCAGTTGGAGACCAGCTTGGGCCATGTAATGAGACCTTCCCTCTAAAAAGAAAAAAAGGAAAAAATTTAGCCAGGCATAGGGGCACATACCAGCCCAAGCTTTGGAGGCTACTGTGGGCTCTGATTTTGCTATTACACTCCTGCCTAGGCAGCAGAGACAGATCAACTCCAGTCTCTAAACAGACAGACAAACTGAACTGAAGCTCAGAGGAGTAATGTGGAAGTCTGAAGCAGAATTTGGCTTCTGGTCCTATGATTGTATGTATGGAGGTAATATTGATAATATGATTCATTTTAGTACTTTGGGATATGAGACAAAAGTAGCAACCTTGGCTTGGCACCGGTGGCTCAAGCAGCTAAGGCACCAGCCACATACACCTGAGCTGGTGGGTTCAAATCCAGCCCGGGCGCGCCAAACAACAACGACGGCTGCAACCAAAAATAGCCAGGC